TTCTTGGCAGCAAGGCACGCTGTTGACTCATATCCAGCTTCTCAACCATCTGTCCAAGGTACTTATATGGCCCTCATCACTGTAGTATCTAAGCATCTCAAAATTTTCATTTTTTTTATCCCTGCAATCTCTATGAGGCAAGACTGTGCTAATATCCCATTGTACAGATGGGGAACTGAGGTACAGTGAGACTAACTAACTTGTCTAAGGTCCCACAGGAACTTGAACACCAGTCTCCCAAGTTATAGCTCTAACTACTGGACCATCCTCCTACCTAGAGCTTTGAGATCTGTATGGGAGCAAAAGTGATGGGCTGGAAAAAACAGATCAGGCCCAAAAAACTATAGCTAAGGGGAAAACTTTGGAGAACTGCTAAGAAATCCCCTCACCATCTGCTGACTGAGAGGCATGTAGGAGACAGGGAGGGAATATGAGACTCTGCTGTTCTCTAAGCTTTCAGGGTATATTCTCCACATCTTGATTCCTGCTCCTCCTCCTCACTCTCTTGATGTGGACTTTCTAAAGTTTGCAGGAGCTGATGCAGATCTTCAGTTTTTCAGGAATCGTGCCTAGTCCAGAGTTTATAGCATACCATCTCTTTGTAAACCTTAATGATATGTGGATGTGTCATGGGTAAATATACACCATATATGCCCGATTTATCATTTCCAGGGAGCAACATTCTTATGGTGACTGACAATGTGTTTTTTTTCCCCCTCCACCAGACCTTTTAACAACACACTGATAGATCTCACTGTAACTGCACTTGCTGTTATTATAGTGTTCAGGTGACAGTCTAGATACCAGAATGACTGGCACATTATAAATACCTAATAGCTAGCTAGGTTAGATGTATTACAGCTGAAATAAGCAACATATTAACTAGAGTGTGTGTACATATTTCTGAATATGGAGGGTTAATTGGGAATTCAAATCCAGCTTCATCTGTTTCTTTCCTCTCTTCAGGGAATCCTGAGCAAAGTTCCAGTGACAACCTTTCCCTTGTCCTTCTATGAAAGCATTGCTAGGCTGTAACGCTTCCACATTGCTGGGTGTCAAGCAATTGCAAAGATTCATATTTCAACTTTCCTGAGCTGCATGATGAGATCGACACAGGTATTGACCCTAGCTACTGGCCCATCCAAAATGAAGCTGTTCTTTGTGCTGCACAAGTATTTTTTGGCCCCAGTGAGGCATTTGAGAGCAAACCAGGCTATTGCAGACATGAAAAGAGCTGTTTGTGCATCAAACTCTTTGGGAGTCTTCTGAGGGCTCCACAGAAAGCACAGCACACAACAGACTTGTGCACAGTTCACTCTCATGCTTTCATGCACCCTCAACAATAAAAACACTTCATCCGAGCCCAGTGTACAGCCTTTACTTTTACTTTTGGGAAGTGGAAAAAAAGCAAACAACGAAGAGTAAAAGTCTTTGGCAAACATGAATCTTTAGCAGCCCTTAATCAACTTGTTAAATATTCCACAGATCCTGCACATGCAAATCTGAAATCTTCCTACAAAAAGGGGGCAGCAAGCCTAAAATAAACACGCTTCCATTTCCAGTTTTCATGTAGCCAACCCAGTGCATAGCAGCATAAGGCCTGCAGGGCATCTAGGGTTGTTACAAACTTTCCAGCGAAGTGAGTGTTTATTATTGTTGTAGGTTTGATGTGTTCCCAAAAGGATCTAATCAACATGTAATAAGGCCTCAAGAGAGCAATTAGAAACCTCAGCTTTAACCCTGTTATAACCACAGTAGAGAGAGTAACTTGCTTCTGCTCTGGAGTTATGCAGCACGATTCCTTGCAGAGGAATAAGTACTGGGAATCTGAAAGCCATTCTTGTACCATTCTTAGTACCAATGTTTGAATGATTTGCTCTGCTGACTGCATGTGCACAGCCTGATAGTTAGAACCCAGGGAGACAAGGAGGCCAGTGTTCAACCCACGTCTTTTTTTCTGGCTTTTTCTCTGTGGCCTTGGACGAGTCACTTAATTGCTCTGAGCCTCAGTTTCTCCATATGTAAAACTGAGATAAAAATAATTGCCTTCCCACAGAGGGTTATGAGGCTTAATTAGTTAATGCTTGTAAGTAATTTGAAAAACTTGGATGGAAGGTGCCAGAGAAGAGCTAAGCATTAAATACTTCTCACTGTTATTCAATTTAGCAAATTATCCAGCCACCAGAAAGCAAGAAATTGCTTTAGAAGACAGTTGATCAGGGTAGGACTGGCTGCTTTGGGGCAAGTGTTCCTTTCCAAACTGTCAAGCCAGGAATTTAGAAAAGTCCGCTCTATTTCACATGCACCTGCACTGGGACATATAATATTCTCTTGTGGGCAATAATACTTTGGTCTAATTTCAGCTGTTGGGTTTAGTGCGCATGTGCTGGGTGGTGTTGATTGCCTATAGGGTGACCAGAGAGAGATGTGAAATATCGGGACGGGGGAGGGGGGGTTAAGGAGTTGGCGGGGAGGGAAAGAAAGAAAGAAAGAAAGAAAGAAAGAAAGAAAGAAAGAAAGAAAAGCCGGAGCTCCGCCTCCACCTCCCCTGAGCTGGCTGCCGCATCCTCCTCCTCCCCCCTCCCTTCTCCAGCACTTGCGCCGCCATACAGCTGATTAGCGCAAGCCTGGGAGGGAAGGGTGAGGAGGAGGAATGCGGCGTGCTTGAGGAAGAGGCGGGGCCAGGGCGGGGATTTGGGGAGGGATCCAATGGGGGAGGGACGGGGCGGAGTTGGGGCGGGGGAGGGCGCGAGCCCCCTCTGCCTGTGCGCTGGAGCTCAAAATATCGGGACAATTCGCGTCCCGACCAATGCTGGACAAACAAGTAAATATCGGGACAGTCCCAATAAAATCGGGACGTCTGGTCTCCCTAATTCCATATGATATACAAGAGGTCAGATTAGATGGTTTAGGAGTCCCTCCGGCCTTAAACTCTATGACATGTAAAGAGAGATATCTACACAGAGTATTAGTTTTGTGGGGGAAGGGATGGAGGGCTGCCTTCCATACCTGAGGGGTTTTTGTTCTTAAAAATATGGTAGGATCACGGTAAAAAATTTGAAATTGTCCCTAAGTAAGCCTTCCATATGTCTTTTCTGAGGGACTTCTTCTGTGCCAGGACCCTGCTGTGCTATAGAGAGAAGACAGGTCTTTGTTTGTCCTAAAAACAAATATCACACTTTAACCCAAAACATACTGACAAAACCCAAATACTATTAAAATTATAAGAAACTGAAAGAATAAAACTTATCCCAGCAGCTAAAATATTAGTTGTCCATTTTGATTCCTTTAGATCTGTCAGCAGCCTTCAGCAGTCTAGACTATGAGGTGGTGTTAGTGTATTTGTAGACAATGGCAGAGTAGACAGAATTGCACTTGTGTAGCTCTGTTTTCTTCTTTCTGAGATAAGTGTTCATTGAATAGTTGCTCTCATACCCAAAGATTCCATCATATGGGGTGATATGAATTCACCCTTCCTATTCAATGTGTATGTGAAGCCAGTGGGGGAGATAGTGAAACAGTTTGGAATGCCATGTCCTCAATCATCAGATGACACTCTGCTCTATTACATTTTCATCAGATCTGGATGGTGCTGCCTCTCGGCTGTCACAGTGTTGCTGGTGGGGTGGGGGAAACCATCCGAGAAGTTGGCAGAGGTTGTCTGCTCCTCGGTAGACAAAGACAAACAGCACATATCCTCCAACATACCTTCTGACCAACTGGCCACGTAACATTAGTCTTGCTGTTCAGCCACCATTAGAACTGAAAATAATATTGAGAAGACAGACCTTTAAAATTATTGCCAGAAGGCATCACTGTGCGGATTACTTAAAAAGAAGTATGGTCGTAATTTTTCTTTTTTGCATGCCCACTAAAAAGTGTCTGATGTCAGTACTGAGCTATAAAGGAAAACTTTTAGAAAGAAAGACAGAGGGGTTTTAAGTATACTTGAGAGTGCAACCGTTGCGGTGTTGCAGTGATCAGCGAGCCTCCAGTGGACCAGCGTGAAACACAGGTCAAATCAGAACATAAATGGAAAAATGTGATATGGTAGAGACCAGTGGTTTCTGCCAGTGCAAACTAACATGCAATAAAATGAAAAATAACCTATAAAATGAAATAAATCTATAAAACAATGCCCAGAGCAGGAAGCCAGTCCCAATCCCACAGGACAGGAGTTGCCACTGCAGGGTGAGTGCAGGGCAGGCTGTCTCTCCATGCACCTGCCTGAGGGCCTCCCACCTCGGGGGCAGGATCTAATACCCTCCCCAGGGCTCCCACCCCAGGAGAAGGCCCCTGATCTCTTCCCACAATAAAAAATAAAATAAAATTACCCCCAAAAAACAAAACAAAAGAATTTCACAGGGATCTAGTGATAAGTAGCGTCTCTCTCTCTCTCTTTTGACAGCTGAGCATTGTCCTTAGTTTACCATTGTTACAGGCCATGGCCTACGTAGCCCGTAGTTAATCCACCACTGAGTGAACACATTGTAAATTACAAAAACTTGTACCTCATAATAAATAATCAGGAAGCATAAGACTGACTATAAAAGCATTACAAGAAACAACTCTGTGGGCTATCTATGCCATGCTAAAGGCATACAAAAGTATAACTCAACCTGTTCAAATATAGGGGAGTAAAGTCTGAGGTTCAGCTAACTAATTAAGGGGGAAAAATAGAAACTGCATCTTCATATCTGCACATACTACGTGTGCACAGTTACTCAGTTGCATTAGAACATAACTAAAATAATTCTCTTGCTCCACCATAAAAAAGAACACAACTTCTAATGCCATCTCTTCCAAAGCAGCAAAAACATCCTCCACATCAAAGTGCAAAAACTCATGCCAAATGAAAACTTACTCCACCTCTAACATCACTCCCAAGCCTCGACAACACTAACCTCCAGACTAATAGAGCAAACTAATTTATTCAGACTAGAATATGATTCAGGATACCAGATCAAAATCTAAAACATCAATACAGGGATCACTGGGAAGAATAGATCACAAACAACAAGATAATTAGCTACATATCCCTATGCAGAACAATCACATAATCAAGTACATCATGATGAAATATGAAAAACTAAGACAGGCTCTTATTAAATATCAAATCTATGACCAACTAGCAGACACAAAACGCTGTTCAAATCCAGTGAGGAATGACTGTACAACATTTCTGACACAGAGATTCTACTCTAGTGTCCAAAATATAAGGGAATGTGAGAAAGGTATTTCCTCAAATTATCAGAAATGATAAAGAAAAACTGTAAGTAACAAGAGAGATGGCAGGAATTGCATTTCACTGCCAGAAAATCAAGAATAGTCAATAACAAAAGGCAATGGCATAAAACCTGAAGTGCATTATAAAACCCTGACCAGGACAGATATTTGATTTATTTTACCTATTTCTGGCAGATACCCAAGGCAGATACACTTTGGCAACATTTGTATAGCTTGTCATGAAATCAAATGTTACTGCACTGGCTTGACAGATATGAACACAGGCAATTGTGCAACAAACAATAATGCAATTATTAATGCAAGAATATTATTTTTATTGGAAATCAGAGGTGCTATTAGGCTTACAGTTGCTGGATTAGAAAACTAGATTGAAGAGGTGGGAATTACATTTAGATTTAAAAATGGTAGCCATTCTAAGTTCCTATGGAAGCAAATTCCAGAAGCTTGAGACAGCAGCCAAGACAGCTGTGCCTCCTGTGCAATTCCATTGTTTCTAAAGAGGGGCGCTGTTAAGCACACTTGAGGATGCGAAGGGTGAGCTAATCCTTTAGGTATCTTGGTCTTAGACATTTGATGGCTTTGAAAAAAATAGTCACAGATGGCAGAATACCTTTTTTGTGGCTAATATGAGTGTCCAATTTGAAAGTGGAATCCAGAATAGAACCATAGATGGTTGAATACCTTTCTGATTGGGGACATCCATCCTCAGTTCTTAGCAACATCATGGTGTCTCTTCAAACTCTTTCATTCTGCCGTCAAGCATAACCTGCACCTGGCTTGGATTTAACTTCAGTCACCTCTTCCCCGTCCAGGTGCTGATCTCAACTGAGTGCTGGGTTACGTTTATGTATGATATGAACAATAAATAG